GCAAAAATAAAAGGAATTTTGAAAGTTCTAAAAGTTTGAAATAAAACCGATCCTCTGGACTTGTATTTATCTCAAAACAAGCACAGAGTAAGCAGGGTGGTCTCATGTTCAGAGACCAGGACCACAATTAAGGAGACCCAAAATAAAGGCCACCTCACCTTAGAAACGTTTTACACAAGCTCCTAGTCCCTCTCCTTCTCATCAAACTTCTAGTGGCAAGTCACAGTTGTGCAGGTGAAGTACAGTCAGAAATGATTTTTTACCTTAAGGTGCTCCACTAAGCTAAACAACACTATGCCAATTAACATTTGTGTGGCTTACAGCATAAGGTGTAACATTGCCCAAAGAGAAAAGGCCTTTTCTGCACTTTCCACCTGTGAGCTTTTGTGGTTTATTTTACTGTTTTATCTTTATGCAGAAAATGATAAATGATCTTCCATTTAAAGTTGAGAAATTAGCTGAGGAAGGAGGAAATGGAAATCTCAAATTTTTTAAATAGCTATTTCAAAATTGAATTTTCATGTGACATGGACATTCTCTTCCATTAAGTGCCAGAACAGGAAATGGAAGTATAATTCATCTTAATTTTGAACTTTTATAACCTAGAGTGTGTATTTTTACCACATATTTTATCTGATATGCTGTTTATCTTTGGCTGTATGAAAATGTCAAAAAAATGATATGACCTACATTTTGAATCTAGTGAGGTTTTAAACACAGTACCACACATTATTTCATACCGTTAAAAGACCTTTTGGGAGGTTTATCTTGTCTACGTTGGAAATAGTTATCAAATAATTGGACAGGTTTCTACAGTATTTATCTCGTTGCTTTACAGATAGTGTGTTATTCTTAAACAGTTGCATAAAACACTTTCATTAGTTAATATGCCCCTGTTAAAAACAAGCAGCCTTTGTTTGTTATGGTAGCTAAATGTTAGTGAGTGCATGTGTTATGTGGCAGTATTGCTCTTTAAGATGAGCTCAGAGCTGTTCAGAGGATGGTGACTTCACTTTGTACTCACTTTTTAATGTTTAAGTGTTGGTTGCTTCATCCTGAAATGAAGTTCTCTTTCCCACACAGCTCTGAATCAGACAGAGCAGGCTGGAACCTGGTTTTCCAGTGTCCTGTGACATTGCCCTAACCCAAATCTATAGCATGTGACACTTTCTCCACATTTTTGGTCTGTTTCCTTCCCATCAACTCTGACAAAAGCTTTGCTGAAAATACATGTATGTTTGCAGAAGTGTTTGGGATTCTGTGAAATGAAATTTTACAGAAAATCTTCAAATCAACAATGAATGAAGTGTATGATGTGCCCTACGCTGCTTCTAGCATCTTGTTCACTTTTGAATTACATCCATGTCACAGTATGGCTAAGAGAAATATTTATTGCACAGAAATAGATGTGATCGGTTTTGCAAATAATTGATAAATCATAAAATTCAATTGTGCTTCAGTAGATGATGTCACTGTTCCAGATAGAAAAGTGTCCTCAGATTTTATTTGATTATGTTGATGCACATGGATACCAATGCATATAAATATTTTACTATTTTATAATAAAGTATAACATAAACATTACAATTCTTTGATAAAGTAGCAGATAGAAGAAATACTAGAAAGGAGCTCTTCGCTATATTGCCACTTCCTTTATGTGCAGAAAATTAATCAAACCGTATAGAAAGATTTCAAACTATGGGGAAAAAATTAAAAGTGTATCTTTTTAATATAGAAAATTCCATCTGCCATCACCTTTGGTGTTTTTCCTAAGTTCTTCACCGCGTAACAGTTTTATTTTATTTACTCAGACTGGTATCTTTCACACACATACATGTGTCTAACTTTTAATTGAGACTTTATTTTGGTACTTCAGTATTACAACTCTTCTTACGGAAGCTTTGATGTAAATAGCATGTACAATGTGGGCTTATAATCACCTGGATATAGGAGGCCATGATAACAACTTTATGGTTAAGGTGGCAGTTTTCTTTATAATTACATTTATAAATCTCATTTTTTTTCCAAACAAGGAATACTGTGTGTGCCTAAAATTTGCTTCTAGGAATTTCTTAACAGAACAGTGGTGCTTTCAAACATACTCATACAGAACTGTAAAAATAAAATAAATAAATAAATGAAAATGAAAGTGAGAGAATGGACAGAGGTAGTATAGTAGGAAAATAAATGAAGTGTGCATAGCTCCCACTTACTGAAGGGCATAGACTGCACTTGCTGGGTGAACACGGAGAGACGCTTGTGTTGCTGTTCATGCTTCTCTGCCTCCCTCTGCTGCCACTTCAATAGGAGGTTGAGACCCACAGTATGAAATGATTTGGAAATACAATTTTATCATTTAAAACTTGGATTGTATGGATTGAAAATTGACCATAAAACATATTAAACAACCAGCATATCCAACAAATAAAGTAAACATCCAAATCCCTCAATTAAGCAGAGCATGCTAACAGTAGGTCCCACTGTGTTTCCAAGCTTTAACTCTTGATTTTCTGTCTTAGGCACATTACAAATCTTGCTAAAGTAGAAGTGTGATGTGAGAATTGTATTAATTTTAGTGGCTGCAATCATATTTTATTGTGGAAGTTAGTTCTCAAAATACAGAAAATATATTGTTTCCTCAACGCATGTAACCTTTCCCTTCTCATTGGTGTTTTAATGTATTAAATTTTAAATGCCAGCTTAAGAAAAAATAGTTATCTATATCTTTGTGTGTGTGTGTGTGTGTGTGTAAGAGAATAAAAAGAAATTACAATGGAATATTTTACAATCACATGGAATGTCTTGCATCTTATTCTCTTAGTATTTGAAAGGTCAGTGTTCCACACTGAGTCTTTAGTAGGTTTATGGTAAGCTGTGAATTACTTATTTTCTCTTTCTGCTCTATCCCTTTTGTCATGTTGCATACCTGAGGTTTAAAATGCATCTTTCTATGCATGTGGGAAATAATGTTATAAAAACATTAAATAAAAACCTGAGAAATGAGAAAGTTGATTAAAACCTGATGGTTTAGGTTTTTCATTGTTCAGGATTTTTTTTTACCCAAATATTAAGGTAGACTTTTGGTGCTAGAGAGATCACAGAACTCTTTTTATAGCAGAAATACAGGGTGCATTTGACAAATAGACAGAACTTAATGTATTATCTCAACATGTGCTAGATATTGAAGTTTTGCCAGAAACTATTACTACTATTAATTTAATATACTAAGAGACTAAAACCATGATGATGAAGGATCAAAATAATGAAGAAAACAAAAAAATCCTTGCTTTGTGTTTATTGCAGTCTGTATAATACAACGTCCTGATGATGTACTTTGGAATACGTTGCTAGCCAGGTTTTTTTATTTTTATACTTTTGTCTGTTGATGCTGTTCACAGCTACAGTTGACTTCCATGTACTGGACAAATGTAAATAATGTAAATATAGGTTTTTTTTATTTAGATGGGCTGGTAACATGGATGCCATGCCACCTTTAGCCACTCCTATTCCGTTTACCTCTAGTTGTATCTTCAGCATTTTACATAGCATATAGTTCTTCACCACTTTCCCTTTTTGGGAGATGTCTTGTCTTTTTCTTCCTTTAAACCAGCCCTGGCCATGTGTGCCGTATGCAGTCCACAGAGGTCTCTGCTGTGAGCTGTACATGATGTGCGCCTAATTTGGGCACATGCTGAATATGGCATCCATGCCAGATCAGCCCTGCATGCTGGATCTAGGGATGGTTCAGATCATCACGCCCATACTGCTGCACACTACACATGGAGCTGGTGCTGGTGCTGGCACTGACTCATGCTACGTGTGGTGCCCAGGGCTGGAGGACGTACCATGTATGCTGCAAGCAGTATGCATGGCCAGTCTAGAGCATAGGCTGAATGTGATGTCTGCAGGTGGACCAGCCCAGTGGGCTGAATCCAGCATGTAGGGCTGGTCTGTGGTCCCAGTCTAGCCCACAGACCAGCCCATTGCCCAGGCTGGATAAGTTTGATTCCCCTACTTTAAACCTGTCTGGTGTTTTCATTCACTTGCTGGCTGAAAAACCTCCTACAGGTTCTTCAACAGTCCTACAGTCCTGTGTAAATTGCAGCAGCAGTCTCTCCAATCTGCCTTACAGCCTGCAGCACTGCCCAAACTTTCTGTGGCATGGTTTTCTGCAGTTCACCTTGTGACATTCCCATCCTGCCATCAGCTCTGACCTCAAGTGATCTTCTGAGGACAGAGTTAGAGCTTCTAGGCAAGTCATTTTTCTTACAGATATAGGGCTTCAGAGCTCTTTTACTTTGACTCTTTTACCCATCATAAAGAAGTTGAGTGGAAGTGAGGATTTCAAGTACTCTAGCATTAACTCTGGACTACAGCTGTCATGCACATACTTAATTCAGTTCAAGGGGTGCAGCAGATGCCATTGTTATATATATTTCCAAGCAGTTCCTGGACAAAGTTAGGACTGTTAAACTGGAAACCCAGAGCAAAGTGGAAACAGTACTGCAGGTGATTAAGTTCCTAGCTCCCAGTGTTCTTCAAAGACACAAGAGATGTGTATGTCTTAGGGTGCATCCAACAGTGGCACAACAGGGACTCTGGTGATTCTGGTGACTAGCTTTGGCCAATCTTGTTTTTCTCGTCTGCTTTCAAAACCAGTAAAAGTGTCAAACCGTAGCCCTGCACATGTATGCCTAAACTTGTCTGTCACAGGGATTCTCATTGTTTGTTTCTAAATACCTATGTGTTGGTCTAAATACCTGCAGTGGTCTAAAGAGGGGATGGTAGGTCTTCAGGACCTCCACTCCTCCATACTCTTGCCTAGGCATATGGATCAAAAGACTTGGTGTGATGGACTCCATACAAGCAGATTCATCAGGCACCTGAATAGAACTCTTATGGGTACACCATGATCGAGAGGATCAACAATTGCCTAAATGTTGACTGTAAGTTAGTAGCAGATGATGTGATTGTTTAAAAATACTGTGTTTTTGTTATAGGAAATATTCAAGAAGTCATATTACAAGAACACTTGGAGAAAGAAGATGAAATTCTGGTATCCCTGGCTGGCTTGAAGCAGGTACAGATACAAACTGAATTAAGTTGCGCACATTTTTTTAATGGTAACAAAACCATTTTTCAATTCTGCGTTTCTTCTATCATAAAGCTATCCCTTGATTTGCAAATGGTAATGTGTGGAGTTTTGTTAAGCATTGTTTTCTGAAGAGTGATACTGAGTTTCCAAGAAGTCTGTGAGGACTTGGAAGTAAAACTGGTGTAGCCTGATGTAGCCTGACCCACAGTTCTGGGCTTCATCTACCCACTATACTATCATTCCTCTCAGTGCCTAGTATATGTTGTATTCAATATTCATTTTTTTTCACATTACAAAATTAAATATTACAGTCTTTTTCTTTTTTTTTTTAAAAAAAAGTACTGTATGCTTGTCTTAAGACAGGGGGTGCACCTATCTCTTAACACTATTTCTCTGAATACACAATACTCTGTGTTAGCTTTGAAATGCATTTCATTAGAAGTACCATGATGTATGTTAATTATGTAAGTACAGTGTCAAGGAAAATAGGATCAGTTTATTCTTTTTAAGTCTGTTGGGTACTTTCTGCTTTTTTTGCAGTTTCCAGTAGAAGCACATTTCACTGGTACCTTTTTTTTTTTTTTATGTCATTGCTAGTGGTAACTTTAATGCAATTTTCTTCAGAAAATTTAGAAAACCATTTACAGTAAAAGCTCTGTTATCTAGCATCCATGGGAAATGGTGGGTGCTGGTTAATCAAATGTCCCAGTTATCTGAGAGTTGCATTTATCTCCAGCCCAGCAGGTTGGAGGCATCTTTGCCTGTTTGGGCCACCGCCGTGTCCAGTGCACCAGGGATTTCACTCCCTTGTGTCAATGTGCCAGGGGACAGGGAAGGGGACTTTTGCTTTTGCCACATCGATCAGCATGCCAGTTAATAGAGCATTCCAGATGGTAAAGTGCCAGATAACACAGCTTTTACTGTACAAAGAAAATAGTGCATGGATGTTGGTTACCAGCTTTTGGTATGTTTGACTAAACTTCAAATATTTTAGAATTCTATTTTTCACTTCCTCTTCAACAAATAGATCAAGGATATTCTGAAGGGTTCTCTGCGTTTCAATCAGAGTCAGCTGGAGGCTGAAGAAAATGAGCAGATCACGATAGCAGATGATCATTACTGTTCTACGAGTCAAAACAAGGAGACAGGGGATTCCCTAAAAGGACCTGTTTTGATGAAGCCATGCTCACTTTCAGCATGTCAGGTAAGGGGACAACCACATCATCCAAGTTACTGGTAGAATGAGCCAGAAATTTTCTGAAAACATTGATTCATCAAAACCAAAGCTCTTCATGAAAACCTCTTAGTTTCCACTAACTTTCACTGAAATGGAGCCAGGGTCCATCAGAAACTTACCTGGGTTCCTGACAGCTCACATGGAGGGAAGCTTGAGAGCCTTGGCTTCCTAGGAACTCATCATATGAACTGTCCCAAGGTCAGGTATCGCAGGGCTTCTAAACCTCCTCCGGCAACCAGGGACCTGGCACCTTGGGACCCACAGGTTTTCAGCTTCAGGACAGTTTAATTTTAGATTTTTTTTTTACCAGGTGAAAATACAGCATATAAATGTGGGGGGGACTCTCACTTGCATTAGTCTTCCCCTGGTTTAAATGTGCAGATGATGCTTTTTGGCCCTTCTCAGTCCTTTTTCTTGTTTGGCTGTTTCCCTCTTCCTCTGCTATTGGAGATTCTGTTCTGATAGATGACATCTCTCTCGGCTAAAGGCGCAATTCTCTGTGCTGCCTGTATAACAATAGAAGATTTTTAGTTGTTAAGTGATGGCATAGGGATGGTTGTCCGTACACAAACCTGCTCCCACAGAAGCCAGTTGCAAAACTCCAGTTGACTTCCTTGGTGCAGAAATGGATCTGTCATGCATAGCTAAATCAAGTGCAAGCTTGTTGCCAAATAAACTATTGTTTGGCTATAAATAAACGTTGTAAGCTTGTTGCCAAATAACTATTTTCTAGATTGTTTTTTTCTAGATAAGTTTTTTACATAAAAAAGTTTGAAATATATTGTAGAGAAAGGTGTTATTGATGCTGGGAATTTATAAACAATGGTAATCATTTCCATAGTGATTGACACTTTTTATGCCACTGTCCCCTAGAATGCCATTATCTAGCAACTGGATTATCTGCATTGCCCAGTGTATCTATTTTTTTTTTCTCATTTCATGGTGAGATTAGCAGCAGTTGTGATAGGCTTCTTTCTAATGGAGGCTTAATTGAATGGATCTATGATCTTATGAGCAATCATTTTATATATGTAGATCATGTCCAGTAGTAGCACATCAGCAGACTTCTGGAGTTAAATCTGCCACAGCTCACCACCCATGTTGTTGATGTCAACAACCCAGGGATATCAAGACCAGCATTGTCACTCCCATAGCCCAGAAGAGTCTCCACTCGGTTTTCTATAACAACTTCTTGAATCAACTTGGGGGTGCAAAAAGAGTAAATGAGAACAAATAGAAAAACAGAGTTTGTCTTAAACTAGCAAAGTAAGATGCTGTGACTTATAACCCAGAAATCTCTTGCTAGTAACATACCTTGTTAAAAATCGTAATAAAAATGAAAGTACCTGTTATTTTATTTAGATACAAAGATACAAATGTTAGTCAGCACTGCTTTAACCGTTGTAATTACAACTAGTCTCTTCAATCATATCAAAGGCCTTAGTCAAACTTCAGTGCTGTCAATCCTGTTGTTTTACCATATCTCCTCACTTTTTACATAAAAACATTTTAGCTTTAGTATTAAAATGTCCAAGATGTTTTACTTATTGTTGGTCATTAATTTAGATTTACTATGCACACTGTAACATGCAATATAAGGCCCCTGGCACACATCTGCTTAAAGGTATGGTGGGATCTTTTTTCCAATTCCAACCATCACACCGCCTGCCATGTGTATGGCAGGACATTCAATTTTGGGACTGGGAATCAGATACCATTACTACTTGCCCTTGGATCAGGATCCCCCTGGACGAGCATGCTGGAAGATGAGTGTCTGCAGGTCCTGGGCCAACTCAGGTGCAGTCAGGGGCTGGAGCTGACAATCAGCTTATTGTTCACGCTCGCACTGGGGGTGCAGTTTGATTCACTGGTGCAGTATCTAGCCAAAGCTGACAGTCACCTGATTTTTCAACCCTGGACCTGCTACGTGTTCTGTTTAAAGCCACATATAAAACCAGCTACAGCAGTATTCTACATTATGGCCATGTCTACATGAAATACTGACTACACAGTTGTTACTTGGCAGTCATTTAGTGCTTGCCTACACAAGTACTAAATGAGTGTACAGTAACTGGAGTGACTGCACAGTGATGTGCCCTAATGGCTTTTTGGTGACACTGACTGTGTTGCATCGCGCTTCATGCCATGCCATGCAATGCTACTACACAGTAGTGACAAGCTACTATGCAGCAGTAATGAGCTACTGTGTAGTCAGTGTCTCGTATAGTCATGGCCACTATGTAGAATGTTTTCATGGCTGGTTTGTCTTAATTACAGTGTAAATATAATATGTAGAGGGGACCTAATACAAAACAATAACACATTGTACTGACTTTACTCATGCTGATAAGGAACGTACATTTTGGAAGCAGTGGGATTTCTCGTGTGAGTAACTGCCCATAATGTAAGGGTTGAGCAATCTGAACTTGAGCAAGGCTTTCAACTCTAAATGGTACGTGTCTGACAGTACAGAACATTTATTCTCATTAGCACTCTCTCATCTTATCTTCTGGAAGCTCCAATTACAGCATGGATCATTAGCTTATTACAGTAGCATAAAATAAGAAATTAGGTTTTGCAGTGTTCATTGTCGGAAAGTAGTGTTGCAGTAAAGGAGAACTGTTAATATCCTGGTCCCCTCTCTAACTGTATTGTGGTTAGCTTTAGCATGTAAAATCAGATAAAAAGAGAGGAACTTCTGACCCCTTTTAATAAAAATTAAACAGGTAAAAACTGCTAAGCTTATTAGCCTGTGAAATGAGTGGGGTGGGGGGGTTTCTTCCCCCAAATAAGACTACAGCCCAGCCTTTTAGTTTTACTGAGTGAAATGTGGTGTGATGATGCCTCCAGGTCAAGCCTAGGAACACTTTCTGAAGGCAGCAGAAGGTTGAAAAAGCTCTAACAATTAATTAGAACACTGGACCATTATGTTTTAGTTTCTATCTTATTTAATGTATTTCCTGCCAGATACATTTTCCTGTTTTGTGGGGTTTTTCATACCGCAATAAGTATAATTCTGTTCAGTAAAAGCTTTTTATGGTTGCTGAGTCTACTCTCAGAGCAAACATTTGTATTCCTAGAGCAAATGCAAGTGTTTTGGACCCAAATCTCTTTTTGTTGCCACTGGCTTCAGGCCAGTGGAGTTACTGCTGTCTTGGATTTACTACTGATTTACTCTGGTATAAATGAGTAGCCTGCTCCTTTTATCTTGGTCCTTGAATACATAATAAATGCAAATAATTTTTCACTGCATCATTAATAAGAAAAGGAACCTTATTTTTCTTTGTGTGCCTCAGTTTCCCCATTGGTAAAACAGGAATAATAATACCAATACCCTTAATAAAGTGGCTTCAGTCCTAAGGATTAAGTGTGCCACATAAATGCTAGTTATTTTTATTTTACACACGCACTCTCTCTCTCTCTCTTTCTCTGCTACATATATTTTGGGATGGTAGCACATTGATGTGCTGCAGTAATATTTTATTTAAAAAATACATACTTAACAAAGAATTTTTTAATTCTTTTTAAATTTCTTGATGCAGTTGAATAAAAAAAGTTCAAATGAGCTGGATAATATTCACTAGAATATTTGCCATTAGTAGCAATGCACAGTTGATAAACAGAAGCCAAGCCTTGCTAAATAATGAATGATAATTAACACATTAGCTTGCTTTTATGACTATCTCAAGAAGGGAGCAAAATGAGCTTCTGTTCTTCCTCCAGCCTTACTTAAATTGTGTTCTGATCGTTAGCTTTAGTTTTTTCACAGCATGTAGGCACTGATACTCGTAGCTGATATTCATCAGAAGAAAAAGTTTGGAGGAGCCATACGGCACTGGGCATTAGGCTGTTAAGTTTCAAAGCTACTAAAAGTATAGTTCTGCCATTTTTTATTTATTCAGTAGTGGAGGCAGATGGGAGAAAACATGGTTCGTGTTAAAACAAGTTCCTTGAAACAGAAACAGGCAAAGTAAAGGGGTTATGTGTGGGCCATATTTTACCTTAGGAAACGAGTATGTTCTAAAGACAGACATTTAAGTCCCTTCTGCATGTTACATGCATCACAAAATTACTGAGTTAATTGCACAATTAATTTAGACTGGCTACACATGTCAATTAACAATCGTGCCATAAAAAGGTCCAACCAGCTATAAAGTTATTGGTGGAAAATGTGTACTTACTTATAGCCATTTTCTATCCAGCTTTAAGTTGCACTTGTAGCAAGGTCTGCCCCTGCAGCTAGGAGCCCCATCAACTGACCAGGCTCCCAGCCACAGAGGTGCACCATGCACTGCCAGAACCAAAAGTCCCATAGCTAAGGGGAGTCTCACCCTGGCAGTGCCCAGCAGCTGCAGACTTGGAGTTCCAGCAGTGCCCCATGGTTGCCTGCAGCTGCAAATACTGTCCCACCAGTACCCTGTAGCTGCTGGGACCCAGTGACAACAGCTATGAGACTCAGCAGACATGGGGCTCTGTTGCAGTCTTCCTCCACCCTGCAGCTGGGAGACTGTAGTAGCTGTGGCTGGGAGATCACAGCAGCTACAACATCCCAGCCCAAGAGGTGCATGGGGTGCCCCTCTGGCTAGAAGCCCCATCAACTGAGAGGCTCCCAGACACAGAAGCTTGTTTTATTGCCAGTGCGGGTGGTGCCAGGACTGGACTCCCCCTGCACTGGAAGTAAGGCACGATGGGAGCTAATCCTTAATCCCACAGTCATGCCTCCTGCCATGCACATGTGAGCATGGCAGGGGACACAATTGTTCACATTGTGCATTAGATCCCATCATGCCTTATTGGTAGTGCATTGTGCATTAGATCCCATCACACAGATATAGAGGATCCCTTCTACCTTCAGAACGTTTATGTCATTATATTAAGCATTGCACTGGTAAACCTAGATTTAAGGGCCCCAAGGTGTGGACCGAGCAAAAATCAGTGACTGCAAAAAGATAATAATAAAGAACATA